TTACAGTTAAGAAATGTGTTACAGAATTATTGTAATTTTTAAGGTCCTTTTTCAGGTCATTTTCTTGTTTTTAACTTGTTTTCTTACAACTTTTCTCCTTTCATTAATTTCTGCACGTGCACTTTTTGCATATTTAAAATCTGTAACACAAATGTACATGTTGATCAGTTTTTCTTCTCTTTTTTTTTAAAAACAAATAATAGCTTTACTTTTTCTAACTTTAACTTAAATAATAAAAATAAATAATGGCCTATTTAAATAAACAAAAGCTTCAGAAAATTCTTTTAAGAATTGGGTAAAAGGCTGTTTTTGTAATTATTATTATTATTTTTATCATTATTACATTTTAGAATCATCTTACATTATTATATTGTCATTATAATTTTTAATCTCCTTTTCTTGTTTTTAATTTTCTCTTTTTACATATTTGGAGCCTCTAACCAAAATACACGTCTTTATAAAACATGTCCATCAGTATTTCTTTACTTTTTAAAAAATGAATAACAGCTTTGAAAAAAAAATAATTTTAAAAGTAGGGGGAAATTATTTTTGTATTATCATTATTATTATTATTATTACAGTTTAGAATCGTATTATTATTTATTGTAATTTTTAAGTTCCTTTTTCAGGTCATTTTCTTGTTTTTAACTTGTTTTCTTACAACTTTTCTCCTTTCACTAATTTCTGCACATGTGCAAATGGGCCCTTGTACATATTTCAGCCCTCTCACACAGATAAACACGTCTGTATAAAACATGTCCATCAGTTTTTCTTTTCTTTCTTCATGTTCATATCATTTGACTGTGCAGCTCAGCACACACTGTCACTCTTCTCTCCGTGCTGTTTATACACGATCCATTTCTCACATTATATTTTGTACATTTTCCAGCTCGAGCTGGATTTGGTTTATTATCTGCAGCTGCTGGTCTGATGTTGGAGGATCAACATGCAAACATTTGCAAGTTTTGGCTTTTTCCTGCCAGTAGTATCTTTCATAAGCATTTCTGACTGTGTGGCAGTTTCAGTATAATGTAGTCAGTCAGTGGACTTTCTCCATTTCAATATTCTGATGAATCTCAGTTGCAATCTGTCACCAATAAGGTTTAAATTTTGGGCCCAGAGAATATGAGATTTCTGAGGTCACAATCAGAGTTACGACTTCCTGTTCCCTTATTTCTGTTTGAAATTGTCTCTGTTGAGTCACGTTAATGTGTTTATTGTGTTTTGAATCAACTAAACTTTACAGCATTTGACAGAAAGCCCAACCTGTGTTTGGAAGTGTAACTGTAGTGACACACACACACACACACACACACACACACACACACACACACACACACACACACACACACACACACACCCCTCCCAAGAGCTGCTCTGTCACCAAACTCCACTTAGAAATCACTTAATCTTTTACAAGGAAACACAAACCTGACGAGTTTGACTCAAGACGTCACCTGAGTCAGTGAGACGGAGGCTACTGTTGTATTCGGCACATATGTACCAAACACACCATCCGCCCGGCCTCCCTCCACTGACATGATGCCTGTGTTACTGTGTTACCTAAGTTACTGTGACTCAGTCCTTGATTCTCACTCTGAGCTGAGCTGTTTTCAGCGGACATGGTTTGAAGGTCCTGACCCACATTATCGCTCGTTGTTCTCTGTGGTCTCGAAATTGAGACGTTACAAAACACCGACATTTTGTTTTACCACCCACAGTCAGTTATCACTACACTGTTTATTTAAACCAAACCAAGACTTTAAACCAACACAGTGATCATTAAGCACGTGTTAGGACGTGTCTCTTGAGGTGAGTGTGCGGCTCTTAAAAGAGCCTTTGTGTTGTTGAGTATCAGCGGGTCAGTGACGGTTTAACCTCCGAAGCCGTACAGGGTGCGGCCCTGCCTCTTGAGAGCGTACACCACATCCATGGCGGTCACCGTCTTCCTCTTGGCGTGCTCGGTGTAGGTGACGGCGTCACGGATGACGTTCTCCAGGAAGACCTTGAGCACACCGCGGGTCTCCTCGTAGATGAGACCGGAGATACGCTTCACTCCGCCGCGGCGAGCCAGACGGCGGATGGCGGGTTTGGTGATTCCCTGGATGTTATCACGGAGAACTTTGCGGTGACGCTTGGCGCCTCCTTTACCGAGTCCTTTGCCTCCTTTGCCTCTTCCGCTCATGGTTGATTCTTCGATGATTCCACAGTGCCTCCGCTCGGAAGGCACTCAGAGTATAAATCGTATCTGCGGACGTAAAAGAGAGCAGGCATGAGGATCTGATGGGAGGAGCCAGATTCTGCTGCCCCGCCCACAATTTAAAAACTGGTTTCCGTCATCATGAAAACTGCGCATGTGCCAGGACTTCCTGGTTATGTTCCTGCTTCAAAACAAAAGCATGAAAGTGAACTAAAAATAAAATTGTTAAACAGAAAAATCACCAACAATACTGTCATTTATTATTCATAAGGAGTTTTTTTTAGAAATGAAAACTTTTATCATCATATCAATATAAATATTAATCAGTCTGACATCAATCTCCTCTGGCTGTTTCAGATCGATGACTGCAGCTGAGTCGCAACATATAAAAATTATATTTAAAAAAAAAAAAAAGAAGAAGGATTTCCTTCTTTAGGAAAAAGAAGAAATTTAGGAAAGTTTGTCAGCTTGTGGAACTGTTATTAAATGTATATATATCAATATTCACATTATAAGCCCATCATCATTGGTAATATATACACTCAGCGGCCACTTTATTAGGTACACCTTGTTGGTTCCAGGTTGGACCCCCTGTTTAATTCTTGGTGTCACAGACTCAACAAGGTGCTGGAAACATTCCTCAGAGAGTTTGGTCCATATTGACATGATGACATCACACAGTTGATCCATGATGAGAATCTCCCGTTCCAGCACATCCCAAAGGTGCTCTATTGGACTGAGATCTGGTGACTGTGGAGGCCATTGGAGTACAGTGAACTCATTGTCATGTTTGAGATGATGTGAGCTTTGTGACATGGTGCGTTATCCTGCTGGAAGTAGCCATCAGAAGATGGGTACACTGTGGTCATAAAGGGATGGACACGCTCAGCAACAATACTCAGGTAGGCTGTGGTGTTTAAACCATGCTCAGTTGGTACTAAGAAAATCTCCCCCACACCATTACACCACCAGCAGCAGCCTGAAGCGTTGATACAAGGCAGGATGGATCCATGCTTCCATCTGAATGTGGTTTTTCCAATCTTCTATTGTCCAGTTTTGGTGAGAAAACCCGTGTGAATTGTAGCCTCAGTTTCCTGTTGTTAGCTGACAGGAGTGGCACCTGGTGTGGTCTTCTGCTGCTGTAGCCCATCTGCTTCAAGGTTGGACAAGGTGTTGTTGCTTCAGAGATGCTCTTCTGCACACCTTGGTTGGAACCAGTGCTTATTTGACTTCCTGTTGCCTTTCTATCATCTTGAACCAGTCTGGCCATTCTCCTCTGACCTCTGGCATCAACAAGGCATTTTGGCTCACTGGATATTTGCTCTTTTTGGGACCATCCTCTGTAAACCCTAGAGATGGTTGTGCTGAAAATCCCAGTAAATACTCAGACCAGCCCGTCTGGCACCAACAACCATGCCACGTTCAAAGTAACTTCAATCACCTTTCTTAATCATTCTGATGCTCCGTTTGAACTTCAGCAGCTCGTCTTCATCATGTCTACATGACTCAGTGTTAATGAACTGCTGACACCTGATTGGCTGATTAGCTGTTTACACTGATAAGCTGTTGAACTGGTGTACCTAATAAAGTGGCCAGTGAGGGTATATTCAAAAACCACCAATAAGAACAAATGCAAAACTTCCTTGTGTTACAAAACAAAGGTGTTGGTCTGTTGATGATGAGCTAAAAAACTGACTTTATCCAAACTAAAAATAAACTCCTCAGAGATGAAACGTCGGACGATTATAAGACGGACCAGTGATTTATTATTTGGTTATTTCTTATTTGATGGTTTTGGTTTATCTCCTCTGATTATTAAAAGGCTTGATTTGTTTAGATACATATCACAACCCTGAGTGCTGTTAATTTAGCTTTTATTTTCTATGATTAAAGTATAAAAAATCAAAAATAAGAGGGGGTAGGGGCAGAAATCTTCTTCCCCCTAACCCTTTAATATTTGAGTGAGTCGCTCATTTGTTGCTGAATTTGATTTTATTTTTATTTTCTGTCTGTATTATTTTAACATATTCAATAAACGGACCTAAAAAAACAGAAGTTAATTTTATAGTTTTGTATTGATTATTATGCAGTTTGGTAAATATGCTGTTTATAGTCTGATACAGCAGGGGGCGCTGTGCAGCTCATACGATGGTTCGCGGTCCGCCATTAAACTAAAGAAGAAGAAGCTGATTCAAACATGCTAACACTCATGGCTAACACCTGAAGTTGTCCACAGACATTCCGGTGATTAAATCTGTCCGCGCCATGTTGTCACGGTGAGTCACCTCCTCTCAACACAACCTCTGATTCTCCTCCGAAACCTTGTTGTTATTTTATATTTATTTTTAACTCTGACGCTGATGGGTGTGGTGTGCTAGCAGCGTTAGCATGTGGTAGCTAGCTGCCAAAGACACTGAAGGCTTCAGACAGAAAGGATAAATACGTATTTAATGAATAATAATGTTCTGGTATTTTCTCAAAGTAAAGGTTATTTTATGTTTTTATCATCTACGCTCAGATATCTTCACTGTACTCAGTTAATGTAAGATACAGAAGCTCCGATGTACCGCCAAACTCAATGTGGAAATCAATTAATATGATGTTTACATGAAAACACAAAACTCACGAGTTTGACTCAACACCACACCTGAGTCAGTAGGACGTACTCTTATATTCGGCATACATATTATAGAAAGCAACACCCGTTTAAATGGATTTAAACCTACAGAAGGGGTTTTCCTCTCGTTTGTTCGCACAGTCTCCCTCCGCTTAAACGACCCTCCACACTGACTGTAATTCAGTGGTTTTATTTTCACTGTGATCTTTGCTCAGCATCTTTTGAGTGTACTTGTGTTTGAATCGGGAGCTCTGTTTCTTTTACAAACTTATTTATGCAATGATAGATAATGCATTTATTTGACATAGTGCCCTTCACAGAAATTAAGTTAAATTGAAGACAACAAAATCTAATACCACAAAATGAAAGTAAAAGAAAAGTGAAACATTAGAGTAATGAGTGCATGTGGACGGCACTGAAAAGAAAATCATTTTATTTATTTAACCTTTGTTTAATAAGAAAAATTAGTGTACAGATGATTTTACTCTACTGACCAATCAGACTGCAGGGTTCACAGCTCCACCTTTTAGTACCAGATCTGTGTGCTAGGTACCCCAACAGAGGGGGGACCAAACATGGGGACGCTAAGGAACGCTTCTGTTGGGACCATCCACAACTTTTACTGTGGAGACAGAAACAATGAACCGGACTGGTCGGTGGAGACGAGGCTTTTGTTATGTTCCATTGAGTTACTGTTAACAGCGATATCCAACAGCTGTCACCTGCCAAATAAAAATAATAATTCCCCTCAAACAATCAGGGAGCACCAGCAACATCTCCTTTTATGGGGTCGTTGCTCTGACATCATCTCAGCTTCAGTTTAAGGGTTTAAACCTGCGTCTGCGACAAACTCACACTTACATCTGTCAGAAGCTGCAGTGTAACCTCCAGCTGTGATGTGTCGCCTGAAGGCCACCAGAGGTCACCGTAGAGTTTCATACTAGCTTCATGATCCACACTCTGCGTGTTCCTGAGATCAGGTGTGGACGTTGATGCATGTTGGTGTTGATTGGTGCAGAGGAGCTGACAGATGTAATGTGGCGCTCTAACTCCTCTTGTGACTCTCTCCTCTCTGCAGCCGAATATGGAGGAAGTGAACTTTGTGTCTCTTGCCGCTGGGAGATGTGTGGACGCCTGCTGCCTGCTGCTCGACCTGCTCGTCAGGACGTACAGCTGGCTGCTTCGCTTCCTGTCCGGCGTGGGCACTTCCCTCCACGGCACGCTGAACGGCTCCAGTTTGGTTGAATACTGGAACTTTGCTGTTTTCTCCTTCCTCGCCGCCACAGAGGCCGTCTCCAGGACCGCCTGCGGAGCCCTGCACGCCGTGGAGGGCTGGCTGCAGACGCTGGGAGGCGTGTTTGAGAGCTTCAAGATGGTGGGACACCTCTCCTGTCACGTGGCGTTGCGCACCAAGGAGGCGCTGCACTGCTGGCTCCTCTCAGGGAGCTGCATCCTGCGACAGACGTGCGAGGGCGTTTGCATCGCGCTCAGCCTCGCGCTCTACTTCGTCAACACGATGGTCAACATCGTCCTCATCAGCATGCAGAACTGTCTGTGTGTGTTGGCGGGCGTCTGGGAGGTGGTGGCGGAGCCCGTGCACAGAGTGGTGGAGCTGGCTCTGACTGTGCTGACCTTCCTGTACAGCTGTCTGGTCGGCACCTCCGTGCTGCTGTGGGCGCCCTGCCAGCTGCTGCTGGACTTCCTGGGCGCACTGGGCCGTGTCTTCTTCACTGTTTTCATGGTGGACTCACACGGCCTGCTCATCACAGCGGCCGTCGTCTCGCTGGCTCTGCTGTTACTGAACCCCAGGCTGCCTGTCCTCGCCGCACAGCTGAGCCTCCACTTGTTCAACGCTCTGCCGGGAGCTCGTGGCGTCCAGACAAACATTCGCAGGCTGTACGCAGTCATAGTGGAACAAGCTCTGGCCAATCAGGAGGTCCACAGGAGGACTGTACAGGAAGTGAGTAGGATGGGGCTCCCTCAGACTCACACAGACACTGGTGCTTTAATCGCTGAGGCCGACTTGCTGCCAGCGAGTGAGCCGAGCCAGCCGGACTCCCCGCAGCTCCCCGCTCAGCAGGACGGCGAGGCGGGGAGGACGAGCGCATCCGTTCCAGAGGGCGGCGGCAGCCCTCCGACTGATGGCGAGCTGCTCAGCCTGCTGAAGGAGCAGGAGGAGAGGAAGAAGTGCGTCATCTGTCAGGATTTGAGCAAGACAGTGCTGCTGCTGCCGTGCCGACACCTCTGCCTCTGCCGACCCTGCGCCGACATCCTGACCCAACGCCGACCCGTCCAGCAGCGCTGCTGTCCGCTCTGCCGGCGACCCATCACACAGACCATGGACGTCTTCCTCTGAGGGCCACGAATACAAAGCCTGTGGGCGTTAAACCTGCTCTTCTTCTGTCCTCTAATAATGTCACTCACCTGCAGCCTGTCACATCATTTATTTATTCTTTGTTCCAGTATTTTCTAAAAGAAATCAGAAACTTTTTTAACTTCACTGAACAATATTTATGATGATTCATCTGAAAACTTGAAGATTATATTATTTATTCTATATATCTTGTGTAAATTTGCCAAAATACCAAAACAACAGAGAAGCTCTTTAATCTCTTGATATGTAGGAAGGAGGGTGTAACGGCACACGTGTTCATGGTCAAGTGTTCGCTGCACAGTGAAACACAACATGTCTCTGTGTTTTCTACATGTCAAAGTCACATTTGACACGTCACAAGCAGTTTTATGAAAACAGACTGTGATCAAAATAAAATGCAGAAACAGATGAGTTGATTCAAAGGCACATTAAACAAACACATTAAACACATTAAACGCACATTAAACAAACACACACTAAATACACACATTAAACACACATTAAACACACATTAAACATGGCTTAATAGAGACAGTTTCAAACACAAATCAGCTTCACTATAACTCGCAGCATTCACAGACAAACACTTGTCTTTATCTGGACACATTTTCCCCACAAATACAACATGCTAACGTTATTAGCACAAGCCTATGGCATTTTACATTGTATAAATTAGCCTAGCGGCTAGCGATCTTTTCCTCTTCTCATATGAAGTCAAGGACAACAGCAACATGCAACAAAGGTAACGTTACAAAATTCAGCTCCATTACAGCTCACAAGGCTCACTGACAAAACAACTGTCTGATACTAAACGTCGACTGTTCGGAGGCAGCTGTAAATGGAAGTTTGTGTAAAAAGTATTCCCTCAGAAAATAACTCAAATAAAGAGGAGATTCAACGTCCAGTTGCATTTTTTCTTAATATCGTATATAAGCAGATGTACAAGGTGTGATAACTGTCAACTTTTATATGACGTTATACCTTAAAACCGGTGTATCGCTGAGACCCTGGGATTCATACATTTACATTTTTAAAAACAAAAGGACATTTCTCTGGCTGTATCACAAATGTACCGAACGCTGACGCCACAAACCGTGAATTACTGTTACACCCCTCGTAGGAATTGTGAACTGAGCAGCTTCTGGTTATTATGAGTTTCTTTGTGTGCTTGTGTGCGTGCATCTGTCTGTAGCTAATCTTGCCAACTACTGGACCAATCAGCCTAATATTTTGTGTGCACATTTACCACTGTATGCTCAAAGACGTCTGGATGTTGAGATGACTCATAATTGTTTTATTGACTGTTTTTCCGTCACTAACTGCCGACTCCTCGCTCCTCTTAAAAAGCTGGTCAGGGATGCCAGTTTTGTTGAAATCGTCTTGGCACAAAAACAAAAACAAAACAACAACAAGCCTTACCGTCTGTTGCGGGACACATTTTGTTCATCAGGTCTCGAAAACTGACATTTGTAGAAAGTTTGGTCTCATTTTGAACCGGAGCGTCTGCAGGTTAATTTTATACCTGAATGTTTACTTTATATACAAAGTTACAAGCTGTATGAAAGCGACTGAAAAATGATGACAAATGTATACAAAAATAAGTAAATAGGAACACAAATACAAATAATAATAATAATAATAATAATAATAATAATAACTAACACTGGGGCCTCTGTATGACAGACACTGATACGAGTCGTTCATTACACACTGTTTAATACATTTACTTTGTATACAACAAGTTTTAATGCAGAGGTTGTGATTATGACTCAACATACAAGATAAATCTTTGCCCCTAAGATATCTGATAAACATTGAAACCACTCTTTTTTCATATTTGATTGTGTCTGTATTTTTTTCCAAAGGAAAACACATCTCCTTCAGCCAGCGTCCAGAACTGTCTCTGTGTTTCCATGTCAATGCCATAAATCTTTTGGCTTGTACAATCACATCAATAAAAATGAGTTCACTGCATTTTATTTTATGTCCCTATGGATAAATGCCAAGAACAAAAAATGTAGGATCTCTGGTTAATTGCGTTGATAAAATCTCCTGCACTAAACGTCACACATCTGTCCAGTATTCCATAGTCTTTGGGCAACTCCATAAACAATGGAAAAATGTCCCTTACACACGTCCAGGATTTGGGGGTGAAATGTGTTGAATTTTTCCAATATATTTGTACCTCTTTTTTGGTTTTATATATTTTTTATTATTTTATTATATTTATTCATTTTTTCCGTAGTGATTGAGCTACAGTCTGTGTTCGCTGCTTTCAACGCCCAAAGCTTTAATTCCATTTATTTATTTTATTTCATTTTATTTTTGGGGGGATGTCACAAACATTTTTTTAATATAAATGGTGTCAGTATGTTAAGGACTGAATTTCTGGGCACCTGGTGGTTCAGTGGGCAGAGCAGGCGCCCCGTACACAAAGGTAGTGTCCATGCCGCGGTGGCCGTGGGTTTGATTCCAGTCTGCGGCCCCTCGCTGCATGTCATCCCTGATGTTTGAGTTCATTCCTACGAAATCCCCTAAGTAGTACTTCTAAAAAAATTCATTTGCAACAGATAAAAAAATTAAAATTATAATCATTTTCACATGTTGAGTTTATTTATTTATTTATTTATTTATTTCTCTTTTCTCTTAATAAAAGCTTCAGTTTAAAGTTTCATTCCTTGATTTTATTCTCATTCCTACAAATCCACAAATGTCCTCCAGGATCCAAAACTGTGTGTGAACATTTTTATAAGTCACTCAACTTCTGTCACTGGAATTGTGTCTGTTGTTTTTCAGTAAATAAAGATGCTGCCACAGTTTGAATATAAAGTGAAGGGTTTCTTTACTGTCACTGTTGTTCAGCCTGTGGTTCGAGCTGTGAAACAAATGTCAAGTAGCATGAAGCAGAGCTGTAGTTGAGACAAATATAACAAGTGTTTTCTTTTTGTTTTGTGTTTTTGAAGAATTAATGTTGAATCAGAAACTTTTTTGCTCAGTAGATTTGCACATACAAGGACTTAATAAAAACAGTAAGAGACGTGCAGTGATACAAGAATGTATTATAAAAGGAATACATAAAACCTGAATTTGAAAGGTCATTTATTACTTTGGAAACAGATGTTGAGGTCCAACTCTTCTATAGCAGCGTGTCTGTAGTTCCTTTGACACTTCCTGTTCAAGGCGTGAATGTTGCTCTGTCATGCCGCCTCGCTGTGCTGTATAAAAGGTTTGATTACGGAACTGGGATACAGAGTTGTCCCACCAGGATATTTAAAAAGCAGCTAGCAGCAGTTAGCAGCTAACTCAAACAAGAAGAACAGGCTGAAAGTATATGCACATTCGGAAAATGATGACGTCCAGGAACTCCTTAACCTCCGAGCAGAGGACGAGATCAGCTGCCATATAACAGAGATGGTAAATGATTGTTATTGACATGTCATGTCATTGTTATTGTTGATGAAGTGCTGCTCACTCGAATGTTATGTATGTTACATGTCACACCAGATGCTGAGGCTGTTGTGTTATATGTCATGCTAGTCAAGCCTCTTTTGCTTCCAGAATGCTGACATTGTTTGGTTCTGTATAAAGAAGCAAAGCTACTTAATGAAGGATCTCTGTGTTAGCATGCTTAACTAGCTTAATTAGCTGGTGAACATGATAAACATAATACCTGTTTGTTAGCACTGTGGGAGCATGTTGATTTTGAACAGAAGAGGCCCAAGAATGGAACCTTGGGGAACTCCGCATTTTTCAGCATGTTAGTATCGTTATTGTTAGCATGCTGACGTTAGCATTTAATTCAGCGTACAGCCTGACAGAGCTGCTAGGATGAGTCTTGGTATTGTTAGCAAAATGTATTTGTTAATTTGACTTATTTGTATGACTGTTTTTCATTTTGTTTTGATCATTGAAGTTATTTTTCCAAACAAAAAACTGCAGAGAATGTCCAAGTTGCAGCTTCTCAGCTGTGAGAATTGGCTGATTTTATTTATCTTATCTGATGATAAACTGAATATTTTTCATTTTAAAGTCTTATAAATTAAACAAGGTTAATTGATGAGCGGTAACACATTCTTTATGTATCACGGTGACAGGTTGTCCTGTCGGAGCAGCAGTCGGTCAACCACGAGAAACAGATTCATAGACAGGTACCTATATTCATCACATGTACAGTAGAAACACCTGTTTGGTTTCTTGGTTCATCGTCTGTCTTTCACTGTACGGTTTCCTGTCACTGGGTTTATTAACGTTCTGTCAGTTATAACTGAAAGCTGTTTGCTTCCTGTTTAGCAGTTGTCTAACAGCAGAGTATTTAAATCTGGGGTCAGTGGTTGAGTATGAGCTGTGTGGGTCTTAAATATTCACAGTGTGAGAGAAGGTTTTCATTTATTTTTAGAATCACTGATGAGAATGTTTCTTGAGTCAGACTGAAGCAGAAACAGACGTCACTGTGAAGAAACTCCTGCAAGAAAACAAGACGGTTGAGTGAATCTGAAGCAGCAGAGATGATTCTTCTGAACATCATCATCATCATCGCCGCTCTGATGGTAACATCAGCAGCTCAAGGTAGGACCCACTGCACTGTGAATTAACTATAATAATAATAATAAGAAAAAATTGTTCATTTAAAAACAATTCTACATATAGCATTATCTGTCTGTCCACACTGATTATCTCAGCAACTACTGAATGGATTGCCCGAAACGTTTTATCACCACTAGGCTGATATTTATCTGATAAATTGTGTTGAAATGTGGTTAATTATTCATGTTCCTCTCAGGATGACTTTGTTGAGCCTCTGATTTTTCATCTCGCGCCATCATCAGGTCAGCATTTTTAATGTGTTCAATACTTTGGTTTATGACCAAAAACAATCACTTAAGCCTCAGCTGGACTCTGTGTTTACTGATTATTAGCCAGTGCTAGCACGCTACACTAATCTGGTGGACATATTAAACATTTTAACAGTTTATCAGCATGTAGATGTTGAAGAGAAGAGGCCCGAGAATGGAGCCTTGTGGAACTCCGCACCATTTTTGAACGCTCTGATGTGTTACTACTGATCAACAATAAGTCATCACTGTCCTCAATATAAGATTTTAACTAATTTTCCAGTCTGATTAGTGGTATATTGAGGTTGATCGTTGTCTATGGGATTTAATGACTACTTAGCATGATGGGAGGACCAGCTGCTAACAGGTCGTCCCAAAACCTGAACAAAAATCTCATTAGCCTCAGCTCTACACTGTAATGTGCTTATTATCAACTATGGAACGCTAACATGCTAAAATAGGATGGTAAACATCATAGATATAGAAACATAGATGCCTCATTGGCTACTGGATTGTACGTCAATGTTGCCGCCATATTGGAGACGCCAAGACCTTCCTGTAAACAAATACAAGTGACAGGAGCTGTGTTTTTCTGGATATAAAGCACTATAACATTTACACTTCTCAGCCCACTGTAATAAGTCGTTTACATATTCATGGATTTATGAACTACATGCGGTAGAACATTTTTTATAATTTGGATGTTTAGGCTGTGATCACTGCTGGATGCTCAATGCAGGAGTGTGTGTTATTTTTACATGAATTGAATTAGTGACATGATTCAAAATAATGAATCGTCATAAGGAACTGTAAAAACTCACATTTGTCAGGCATGGATTTGTCTTACTGTCCTTGGTTCATACTTGTGGAGACGTCTACAATAAGACAAATCCATGCATGACAAATGTGAGTTTTTACAGTTCCTTATGACGATGAATTATTTTAACATAACACACACTCCTGTATCGAGCATCCAGCAGTGATTACAGCATAAACATCCAAATTCTAAAAGGTTTTGTATTTGTGTACAGGAAGGTCTTGCCCTCCAATATGGTGGCGACATTGACGTACAATCCAGCAGCCAATGAGGCATCTATGTTTATGTCTGACGTTTACCATCCTATTTTAGCATGTTAGCATGCCATATTTGATAATAAGCACATTACAGCTGAGGCTGATGATATTTTTGGTATAGTTTATCTGTTTATGTATTTGTTCAGGTTTTGTGACGACCTGTTAGCAGCTGGTCCGTCCATCATGCTAAGTGGTCATTAAATCCAATAGACAACAATTGACCTCAAGATTCTACAGATCAGACTAAAAAATTGGTTTAAATCTCATTTGGAGGACAGTGACACGTCAGAACATTCAAAAATGGTGTGGAGTTTCACAAGGCTCCATTCTTGAGCCACAAGCATGCTAACAACAACAATAGTTAACAGGCTGATAAAAGCGGAGTTCCACAAGGCTCCATTCTCAGGCCTCTTCTCTTCAACATCTACATGCTCCAACAAAACATGCTGATAAACTGTTAAAACGTTTAATATGTCCACCAGATTAGTTTAGCCTGCTAGCATTGGCTAATAATCAGTTAACACAGAGTCCAGCTGAGGCTGAAGTGAATGTCATTAGTTCTACATGAAAAGTCAGAGGATCACTGAAGTTATTACAGTTCATCCTGAGAGGAACATGAATGATCAACTAAATTTCATCACAATTCATCCAATAGATGTTGAAATATTTCAGTCAAAGCCACGAATGTGAACCTCATGAAAGGCACCAGAGGAAAAGTTAGGACATCACCAAAGACATTAAGGATCATCCTCTGGAGAACATGAATGTCTTAATATAATGTCATGGCAGTATTCCAGAGATCTTTCAGTCTGGATCAAATTGATGGACCAACACTGACATCCATAGAACCAGGCGGCTAATGAAATCATTTCACCTTAAAGGACAGGTTCAAATTTTACTGTGTGTCTCACTTCCTGTTGTAGACCCAGGTGTCTCTCAGAAGTGTGTGTCACCGTCAGGAAAGAGGGAGGTCAACTGCACCTTCACAGGGCACAATCTCGAATTCATCTGGTGGCTCAACAACCAATTAGTGCGCAAGAACATCAGCTCACAACCTGCTGACCATCCTGTCAGAAGCACCATCACTGTGGAAGCAGATCAGTCTGGAAATCTGACTTGTGAAGTTAAATATCAGCTCAGCAGCAGAAAGAAGTCTGTCCTACTGAAAGACTGCCAAGGTGAGACTGTACGGCCCTGCCACCAGAACAAAACGTTGGCACTGTTCATGTCTGCAAACCATGGATAAGTCACCTTTGCCTGTTTAATACGTTTCAAATCAAGATTTATGAAGTGACGCAGTTTATGAGTTGTCTTTGTCCTAGGGAGGTGGAGGGGATGGCGGGTGGTGTGTCACCAATAACGTTATGTGTATTAAGGGTTATCATGTCCACCTCATCAGAAACTGGGGAGGGATTAAGAGGAATATTGGATTTCTCTGGAACGCTAACTTTTTAGCACATTAGCTAACATTAGCTTCCATAGCAAGACTAATATTGGATTTTATGCAATGCTAGCTTTTTTGCACATTAGCTAACATTAGCTTCCATAGCAAGACTAATATTGGATTTTATGCAATGCTAGCTTTTTTGCACATTAGCTAACATTAGCTTCAGTTGCAAAACAAACTGGAGGAAACCATTCAAGTGTCGTCCTCCTTTGTAAGATTGGCTTCCTGTGACATCATCCACACTTAGACAGTCCAGTTTGTGTCAGAGTGCGCTCCCACACTCACAATGAGTGTTTCTGAACGCACCACTCACATCATCTTCCTCCATCGTCTAAAACAAGACAACACAACTTGTTAGCTAGCGCTAGCTAATGTCTGTGGAGAACTGGTTTGCCTCCAGCTAAGCCCCGCCCACCAACAAACATCACACTGTTTACTAACAGTTAATTGGTCTATATTTGTAAAATAACTGCGCTGCAGTGAAACGTTTGTATTAATAATTATTTTGATGTTTCTATTCAACTTTTCAGAAGCTGCTGGGTTCCTGTTCCCATATGCAGCTGTGGTTATCGCTGCCGCCTCGTTCCTCTTCCTTGTTGCTATGTCCGTTTGCTTCTTCCTCTTATTCAAGATGCCCGGCTCTCAGGGCGTCAGTACAGGTAAGAACTATGTAAAGGGCCAGTTCACCCAAATAACTCTCATAATACTTTAATTAAAGACACCTTATACAAACTTGCTGCTAAAACAACAATGGCAACTTAAACATTTGAAAAGACCTTTAATCCATAAGCCCCTCCCCCCGTCAGGTACTTCAGATGCTGATGAAGTTATGTACGCGGATGTGAACATCCAGATGGGTCAGAGGAAGCGGGAAGTTCACCACTGCACAGAGACGGTGGAGTATGGGCAGGTCAGAGTCCATCAGCAGTCACATGACTAGTCCTGGAGAAGCCACGCCTTTGTTACCAGCTCAGAAAATATACTTACTGTTTCATCGCTTTTATGCTTCACGTCTTTCCCTAATTTCATGACAGTTGCTTATAAACATGATTTTGATGTAAAATGGGTTCAAGTGACTGATGGTGATGGCCCCGCCCCTCCTACATCCTCCTGAATCCCACAACAGCTCCGTTCAGACAGGATGAAGGTGGAGCTGAGGAGTTAAAACTTCATTGAGCTCATTGTTCAGGATGCTGTTACCACGGTGACACGATAGGACACAGACGCTCAGCAGGACAAAGAGAAAGAGAAGGAGTTGACAGGGAGGCAGGAGGTGAAGCTGAGTCAGCTTCTCTTCTTCATCACTCAGTGAAACGTGAACACGCAAACATGACACACACATTTTTAGATTCAGTGTGACTTCCACTTCCTGATATCATCATATCTGATGTCCAAAGGTAATAAACGTCCATAAATCTGTTGAGAAACCGGACAACAAAAAAGCTTTTCCGAACGTCCCCAAGAATCTTCATGTTTCTAAGTTTCCTTCAGTTTCACAGTGATCAGTCATGTTGTCTGTACGTCCAGCGGTGCCCTGCTAACAGGAGCTGATAGCTAATAGGAAAAATGAAAACAATTTAACAAAATATAATAAATACAGACTGAAAACACAAAGCTGAACAAAGAATAGCACCTTCATGTAGCACTCTGTGTGTGTGTGTGTGTGTGTGTGTGTGTTGGTGTCGGCAGGTTTCCATCAATCAGATCAGTTAAAAAAAAACTTTTTTAGGGCTGTTTAACATCCTAAACAGTTTGAGAGACAATCACAGACGCAGGCGGCAGCGTGGATGAAATGGCTGCACATAGATTCTCAGAGATGGACCCTGCAAAAACTAACACTGTGGTGACCAGTGTTGGGCAGCAACATGTTACAGAACTGAGATTACTTTTTCCAGTAACGAGTAGTGTAACTTATTACTAATGAAATGTCAGTAATAGTATTACAGTCACTCCAAAACCAAAAAACTCGTTACAACGGGGTCATCCCTATGTTTCCCGGGTTCTATGTTCCCCGCTTGCAAAAAAAAAAACAACCCAGGGAACATAGAACCTTTTTTGCAGGGTTAAGTGGGGAACATAGATATGCTCTCGTTACAACGTTACTTTTGTTATCACGTCACTGCTGACGTGAAATACAACGTCACATCAGTGGACTCATTAAGATAATGGTCACAAAGCAGCGAGCTAGTTTGAAACGTTTAACTTAGCGGCTGGAAACATTCTCATGACTCTGATCCTGTCGGGAGGAAAGATGACGAGAACTCTGCTGCTGCAGGTCATCGGACTAAAACTGTTTCCACTGTGAAAAACACGTCCTCAATCCTCCGATCTGAAAAACCTCGGCTACAACGACCGGCAACACAACAACGTGAAGCTCCAGGAAATACACCCCACCAAAGGTGAGCCCTCCTCGGCCCGGAGGTCGGCTGCAGCTCTACACTGGCTAAACAAGCCAAACTGGGTTTTATTGGTGGACAGCTGCAGACACAGAGAAGTGATGAAGCTGGTGCTTGGATATGTGGTGGATGAAATGTTGCTCCACAGGTGACTCTCCGTCTGTCAGACAGATCTCTGGGTAAATACCGCCCACAGGTTACAGAGAACTCCCAGGTAAATAGAAGCTAGCTAGCATTAGCTACACTTAGCACTGTTCACCCTGACATTCACACAGAGACACATCTGAATTTTGGGGAGAGACACAGTTACCAATTTTATGGGGTGATAGTAATAAAAAGGAGGAATGTAACAAATTACTGTTGGAAGAGAGTAATAAGTAATATTATTTCCTTTTGAAAAGAGTAATAAGTAATATATTACATTTTTAGAGTAATGTGTCCGACACTGGAAGTGACGCCCACATTTCCCAGCATGCTGGACTGAGTAGTTTGTAGTTGCTGTTTTTTGTTCCATAAGTTAATGTCATTTTTGTTGTTATTGTCTGTTCAGCACACGATGCTTTGTGATCGTTATTGTCATCAGTGTGTTAATTTATAGTTTGTACCATTAGTGAGTCGGCTGTCCTCCTTCATGACCCCAGCTGTTACATGTCAATAAAGGTTTCAGAACTACAGTGTGTCCTGTGTGGAGCAGATGTCACAATATAATGTTGTCTTTTTATGTCTCTTTAATTTCCATATGTAATTACTGATCCGGTCTGGCTACCAAGCTACCACCACCCTTTCATCCTTGTCCTGCTGCATTTCTTCCTGACGCCGCCAGGCACCATGAAACTGTAACGGCAAGCAGCTGCGTATCATGTCAACGTTAAAAGTTGCCTTTTTTGTTGGTTTCTGACGCCGCAAAACACTGCCCAGGTGCTGGATCTCAAGGACAGAGTGAGACCGGGCTCGTAATGACATATGGAAATAAAAGAGAGATAAAAGGACAACATTTAAATCGTGTACGGACTCTGAGGTGATGTACGGACTCTGAGGTGACGTACAGGCTCCCAGGTGACGTACGGACTCTGAGGTGACGTGCGGACTCTGAGGTGACGTACGGACTCTGAGGTGACGTACGGACTCTGAGGTGAAGTATGGACTCTGAGGTGACGTACGGGCTCCCAGGTGACGTATGGACTCTCAGGAGACGTACGGACTCTGAGGTGACGTATGGACTCTGAGGTGACGTACGGACTCTGAGGTGACGTACGGACTCTGAGGTGACGTATGGACTCTGAGGTGACGTACGGGCTCCCAGGTGACGTACGGACTCTGAGGTGACGTACGGACTCTGAGGTGACGTACGGACTCTGAGGTGACGTACGGACTCTGAGGTGACGTACGGACTCTGAGGTGACGTACGGACTCTGAGGTGACGTACGGACTCTGAGGTGACGTACGGACTCTGAGGTGACGTACGGACTCTGAGGTGACGTACGGACTCTGAGGTGACGTACGGACTCTGAGGTGACGTACGGACTCTGAGGTGACGTACGGACTCTGAGGTGACGTACGGACTCTGAGGTGACGTACGGACTCTGAGGTGACGTACGGACTCTGAGGTGACGTACGGACTCTGAGGTGACGTACGGACTCTGAGGTGACGTACGGACTCTGAGGTGACGTACGGACTCTGAGGTGACGTACGGACTCTGAGGTGACGTACGGACTCTGAGGTGACGTACGGACTCTCAGGTGACGTACGGGCTCTCAGGTGACGTACGGACTCTGAGGTGACGTACGGACTCTCAGGTGACGTACGGACTCTGAGGTGACGTACGGACTCTCAGGTGACGTACGGACTCTGAGGTGACGTACGGACTCTCAGGTGACGTACGGACTCTGAGGTGACGTACGGACTCTCAGGTGATGTACGGACTCTCAGGTGATGTACGGACTCTGAGGTGACGTACGGACTCTGAGGTGACGTACGGACTCTGAGGTGACGTACGGACTCTGAGGTGACGTACGGACTCTCAGGTGACGTACGGACTCTCAGGTGACGTACGGACTCTCAGGTGACGTACGGACTCTCAGGTGACGTACGGACTCTCAGGTGACGTACGGACTCTCAGGTGACGTACGGACTCTCAGGTGACGTACGGACTCTCAGGTGACGTACGGACTCTCAGGTGACGTACGGACTCTCAGGTGACGTACGGACTCTCAGGTGATGTACGGACTCTCAGGT